ATTTATATTTGCATTTCAAGTTATAAAAATAATTTACTCAACATGTCTGTGGGTTTTTTTTACAGTAAAAAACTACAACTAGGATTTTAAGTGTTTTGTGTGAGTTCAGATCAGTAACATTAATACAGTTTGTCAATGAAAGAACAGCTAAATTCAGACACGTGAGGCTGAACGACTGAAACCGAGCAGGAAAAGCAAAATGAACCAGTTTGAATGTGAAACACAAACGTAAAATGAGCAGTTGTATTTCAGAGGGTGAATCCAACAAATCATGAAAAACGAGGTTTACATGTTTGTTCATGACAGTGCAGATTTCTGACATGTTGTGTAATCTAAGAACGTAACAATTTGATGATTCACTAACAAACAACAGTGAAACTTCAGTTAGTGTTTGTAAATGAAGCGCCAGTGTTGTGCAGCTTTCTGGGTTTTATATTTATTGGGCGACATATTTATTTATTATACAGGCTGTACAGTACAGAAGAGCAAAACTCATGTTTTATGTAACTAAAGTGTGTAATTCTGTGGGCTACAGACAATAATCAAGTTATGGACCATATTTATATGAAAAGCATGTAAACTTACTGCATTTGAATCATTTTAACCACATGTAACCACCTGCATGTGTTTGAAAAAGAAAGGCTTGGGTTTTGCCTCCCCATCTGATTTCTTTGCCACCCTGTCGCTGCGTCACAGAACAGGAGCTCGCTGCAACAGAAACCTGTAAAACATCTCAGATTGGAGCTGCACCTGCTGCCCCGCGCAGGGCAGGAAACACGTGGACTCCACAGTTCATGAACACTTCCCTGCTATCCAGAAATAAGCCGAATAACCTGGAACGCTGCACCCGGACAAACGTCAGCTGACTGACGGTCCTGCACGGGGTCAGCTGATGCGACGGTCAGACTCGTTTCTTCCTGCAGGACTTTTTCACGTTAAAGAGTAAAAGGTGCCCCAAACTTGCTCTCGGAGTGCTGACGTGGCGTCTCCGTCCTCTCTGTCCTCTTTTGCTCTTTGCTGGTTTTTCATGCTTTTCCTCTGAAGTCTGTGTGTGGGTGGGAGAGATGAGTTGTTTGTGTCGTGCTCCTTTAAATCAAAGGCGAGGGGACGGCTGTGCTTTAATCATATTTCACGCCGACCTCACTTATCTTCCTCGCCGTTGTTTAAGGCACGTCATTGCAGATATATCAGCCTCCGCCTGACTGCTACAGTACGGACACACACACACACACACACTGTATGTGAAGCCTTTATGAGTCCCAACATGACAGGATGACAGTGTGTTAAAATGTGGAACCAGAATCGCAGCGTGTTAACATTTCCTTTGGAAATGCCAAGGTCTTCCATTTTCCTCAGCGTGCAGTGAGCGGCGCTCAGGCCTGCAGATCACAAAGACTTTAATTTGTTTTTCTGACAGCAGCCTGAAGGTTACAGTGATGAGCTTCTGACCTGAAGACTCCCACTGATGCTAATTCCACCCAGCGTCCTTGAAAACAAAACCGCAGGCGCAGAACGAGCTGAGACCAGAACACTTTTCATGTGAGCGAAGTTTGTGTTTGTCAGTTTGATTTTCCTGTTTCAGGTGTTTGTCTGTTTGAGGCTGTTTATCTGGACCCAGGCTCAGAGCAGACGCTCCAATAGAAACACTTCTGCGCCTGATCACATCCATCAGGTCCTCCTCAGATTCAGATTAAACTTATTTGAAGCATATTTTTCATCTCATCTAAAGTTGAGTTTTATTCAGTGATAAAATATTTTTACAGAGACAGCCCAACACTGAGCTGGTGTGTGAGAGATACCAGCTCAGGCTCTGGAGCCATAATTATAATTATAGCTGTAATTACTGAGAAGCAGCTCGAACGTGAACGTCAGCTCGGTGTGAGACCTCATCAGTGTTTCCTGACCTCAGCCTGGTAAATGCAGCAGTAACAGCTTCACGCTGAAGCTCAGGAGCAACTCGGAGCTTCTGATCTCGCCCAGATTACTTGGACCTGTAGCGCGGAGGAGGCGGGATCAAACCACAGCGTTTCTGTGGCTGAATTTCAGGTTTCCAGCAGAAATCTCGTGCACTAACAGTCAGTCGAAAGCAAGTGGCCCAGAGTAAAGATGCCTTTGTTCTCTTTATTCCACAGAACGAGTTTCACATCCAGGCTGTGAGGAACCGCCGAGCCGTGTGGGCGGGTCTCTGAGTGGCTGTTGGGAAGTCTGGAGTCCTAAATAAAGTTTCACCATCTCAAAAATCCAAGTTTCAGCTGTTTACAACTTTTTCACTTATAAGGTTTCGACTAATACAGTCATGAATAATAATGATAGTAAAACGTGAATATTTACTGCCGTGTATGTGACTTCCTGCTGCTGGTGCACGAGGACAAGATCTGCTCAGGTGAGTCGTAGCTAACGCAGCGTGCAGACGTTGGTGAATCTGTCTGAAGACTCAGCAGCAACGTTTGCAGAAGCTTCACCTTAAAAGCAAAAAAGGAAAAGAGGAACGTCTCTGCGGTGTGAGCGCCGTCTGTTCAGCGACGGCGACCCATCACACGTGTCCCGCCCTGGTCAAGTGACGACAGCTCGCAGAGATGAGTCTGTCTGCCGTCTGGTTCAGCCTCAACAGCTCCAAACAGGAACGACCTGAGACCTGGAAATTCTGTCCACAGTAATAATCAAAGATTATTCAAAGTTGCCGGCAGCATGTCTGACTCACGGCCAGCAGCGTACCTGTGCAGGTGTACTGAGAGCTTACTGCCCTAATCTTTTACTACCACCAGTATGATTTGTATTTTAAAGACTAAACGCGAGTTTTACTCACACAGCTGTGTGTTCGGTCTGAGGGTGGGACTCTGGTTTTGAAGCGCTGCATGTGAGCGGGCAGTAAACGTGGGTCTTCCTGTGTTCGCAGTTCATCAGACTGCTGGACTTCACCTCTGACTGATAACTGTGAGAAAACGACCCACGCAGGTGAAACTACATCTCTGAAGTGAATCCAATCAACAAAAGGCAGCTTTCATCCGACGCTCGAGGCCTCCCGAGGCTTTCATCCAAACCAAACGCCCACAACGACTCACGCGGGCCTTTCTCTCTGCACTGAATCACACGAGCTGTGTTTGCTGAGGTTAGCTCTCTGCGGGATGAGCGATTGGTAGCAGTGAACTGGTGCCGTCACTCTGCACAGAAACATGACTCGTGCATGTGGCCGAGGGGGTCGTCTGCTAGAGCGCGAGCACAGGTCCAGGGAACAAGATGTGCTTCCCTGTGGTCCGTCAGAGGGGTTTGCATGAAGTGTGATTACAGTCTGAGCCTAGACGTGACCGCATCATGGTGCTCAAAGCGAACACGTCTGGAGTGAAATAAGTTTATTTCTAAAGAACATCCGACTCCTAATTACCCAAACGCCGTCTGACGGCAGCTGATCCCTGATCCTCGGGCCGACGACCTGAGGGAGGGGCTGGAAGAGCAGGTCAGTTAAAGCTCTGGGAGCTTTGCTGCATCTAACGAGCTGCTGACCAGGAGGAGGAGCCTGCTCGGGGTCAGAGGTCAGACAGGGTCTCTGAGTCACAGGGAAACGGGAGCTGGAGCGACCGACAGCAGGAGGCAGCAGGAGACGGGCCGAGCGCTGCGGCACAGAAACGTCCTCGGGCGTGAGAGCAGCTGAAATATTCCAGGAGCCAATCACAGCTCTCTACCGAGGCTTCAACGGGCCGGGCACCAAACGCTCCGGGGCGCCGGGCTGGGACCGGAGGAGCTCAGAGGAACCTGTCCAGGTGTTCTGACGAGGACGTGGTCACGGCATCAAAGTGGGCGTTGTTTAATGCAGTAACCCTTCTGACACTGAAGTTCCGTCTCCCCGCCACGCTCGTGTGTTCGGCTCGTCGTGCATCATAGTGCGCTCGCTGTGCTGACAGCTCATCATCGGGCTTCAGCGGCGTGCTCCACGGTTGGTCTGTAAATCAGAGTCAGGCAGAACTAAAGCGACTTCCTGCCTGCGCGTCTACTAAAGGCCTCAGGAACATGCTGGCTGCTCGCCGTCGAGTCCTCTGAGGCACTTCTTCATCTCTGCTGCTGTTCAACAAACACAAATGAGTCCCAGTGTTGGTTTTCCATCACCGCACAGCTCCCAAGGCACTCCGCCATCTTTCCTTCATGACTCATTGAGGTGGCTGGAGAGCTGTATTTCCTGCGGCAGCAGAGAAAGCCGTTTGTCACACCTTCGCTGGAGGAGAAACTGCAGGAAAGAAGAACGTCAGGAAGTAAGCGATTGCCACCTTGATCCCAGCTGCCCACCAATCTTGGCCTCACCTCTCCGAAAAGCTGCCTGAGATTATTACGTGTCAGGTCCTTGCACAGGAAAGCTCTTAGTACCTGCCAGGAAGGGCGGAGAAAGAAACACAGGTCGGAGGTGAGTGCAGCTTGGAGCGAGCTGCCTGCAGCTGTGACGGCTGCTGACTGTGGATTTGACTCTGAGAAGCACCGTCTCAGATTTCAAATGTCTTATTTGAATGAGTCGCCATGTTCGTGTGGTGGAGATAGGTGTGCCCTGTGACAGCAGCTCATGTCAGCGCCTCCCACGGGGGCGGGGTCAGGCCAAGAGCGAGCCGTAACACGAGAGTCGCACAGAGGAGGAGGGGCCTCTGAATGAGCCCTCTGAGCCCTCCACCCTCAGGTGCCGTGTCAGGTGAGGCCAAGGCTCTGTTGGTGTGACAGTAGAGTGTGTGTGTGTGTGTGTGTGTGTGTGTGTGTGTGTGTGTGTGTGTGTGTGTGTGTGTGTGCAGTGTCAGCTGTCTGAGAACAAGTGAAGAGGTCAGAGGTCACATTAGCTGAGCTCTTTTATTTACAGTCTGTGGACAGAGGCTGCTGAGAGGACGGTTCAGGTGAACAGTGACAGATGAGCTGCTGATCCACACACAGGCTTATACACAGCAACATGAGTTACATACGAGAACAAACCTGTCCAGCAGACACACACTCCTCCCTCCGGGCTCAGACGGGGTCACGTGTCGTTTGGTTTAATAGCTCCGATCCACCGACAGCTTCACGGGCAGAGTCTTCACTGGGACTTTATCCCCGATGCTGATGAAGGGAAACATCCTGTCCGTGAAAGTGTGTGTGAAGGTGTGTATGTGTGTGTCAGTGTCAGCGTCAGAGAACGACAGCTGTCCTCCGTCCCAGTCCAGACTCGCTCGGATCCTCTGGAGCTTCTTCTGCAGCTGCAGGACGGTGGGGGCAGCAGATCCTGAGCGAGCTGAGTATTCACCTTGATTGAATCCTATTCCACCAAATCCAGAGCGTATGGGTCCCTTCCTCCGGACGGACTCCGCTAACACGCCCAGTCCCCAGTGTCCGCAGTCTCCAACCTCCACCACCCAGCTGTGGGCCCCTGAGGTGAAGCCCTGAGAGCTCAGGACGAAGCAGAGATGATCAAACCTCTCTGGATTATCGGGGAGCTGCTGCAGCCCACCCACCCTCACGCTGCTCAGATCCTCGGACAGGGTCAGTTCAGGGTTTGCAGTGTTTGGGTTCAGGATCAGAGGAGTGTAGGAGACCATATACTTCATGTTGTTCCAGATGCTGAAGGTCAGGTTGCCCAGGTGTTTGGCCTGGTCTATCAGAGCTCCCGGGGGCAGCTGTGGATCATCCAGCAGGGGGCAGCGCTGGGCTCTTTCCACCACAGCCTTGTAGTTGTGCAGGAATGAGACGTCTTCAGCTCTCAGCTCCTCCTCTGTGGCTCTGATTGTGTCTGAAAGAGCTGCTATCTCTCTGCTCAGAGCCTCCATCTTCTCCTTCATCATCCAGCTCTTCTGCTCCTCTTCCTCCCACAGCACGGTCAGCCTGGCCTCCTCTTCCTCTGCTAGAAACTGGTGAAGCTTCTTAAACTGCTCCCTAATCTTCCTCTCTGTGCGTCGGGCCTGGGCCTTAATGTGTCCTGCTGTTTGATCAAAGTTCACCTGGACTTCTTCACAGACCTTTAACTTCTGCTTTAAAGCTTCCACAGTTTCCTGAAGGTCATTCTTGTGTTGTTGTGCAGCTTTATCGATGGGCTTGAACGTGTGGTCGCTGTGCTTCGTCTGCTCGTTGTCAGAGTGCAGACTGCAGAGATCCTCTGAAGCTCTCTGATCTCTCCTCTCTACAAACGACTCACACAGGTTCTTCAGCACCAGACTAACCGGTGGATCCACCCTCGAAGATCTTTTCTGACACATCGGACACTCCTGTGTTGGCTTCTCTCTCCACCATCTCCTCAGACAGTCTTTACAGAAGCTGTGGCTGCACGACAGAAGAACGGGATCTCTGAAGATGTCGCGACAGATCGGACAGCACAGATCCTCCTCTGATCTGGAAGCCATGGAGTCTCCGAGTGAGGCTGGAAGCAGCAGACAGGAAGTACAGTCAGTCCTGGTTCCCCTCCCTCCTCTGCTGCTGAATGAATGCCTTTATTGTCACTGCATGAGACACAAACCACAGAACCTGTTCTCCATGTGGCACGAAGCTGCACGACACAAGCTACTGATAAATGGAAATCCCCGTGAGCCTTCACTGTGGAGCATCAGCAGCTGAAGCTCAGTCTGTCCGTCTGTGTCTTTGGTTAGAATAACAACCTGCTTTCTGTTTTACGGCAGGCGAGACAGGTGAGGGCGGAGCTCTGTGAGATCACATGAATGCTTCTGTTACCTGCAGGTCAGGTTTCTTTCATTCCACAGTTATCAGAGTGGAAAATCTGCAGCAGCGGTGTGGTGATCACTGACGTGTGTTCAGCGTCTCGTTTCCACCAACGTTTCGTTTAAAGATGCGGTTTATGTAACGTGTGATTTGAGTACTTGGTGATTTAATTCAGGCCTTTTTGCAGGAAACACTTTGTCTGTATTCTCAGGATTTACTGCATCAGCAGATTTAAAGAACAGGGTTTGTTGTATTTTTGGAGATTTTCAAAAGACGGTCAGGCTCTCTCATGTTATTTTAGTAAAAGTAAGACGTGACACAAAGGGTCGTAACGACTGAACGACTTCCTCAAACAAACTTTAACTCCATAAACGTCTTTTCCTCCTGATTATTCAAACAGGTTTTTATTATTTTAAATCCTTTTCACGTCATTTCACCGACCGGTTTATTTCGTCAGGCGTGAGGACGACTCTTCCGTGTTACTGCAGAAATCAGAGAGAAGGTAAACCCAGACTGCCCTGTGAGCACGCTGGCATCGTAACAGCAGAACGATGGCGGCGTCACAGAGACCTGAGAGGCCACTGCTGTCAGTGAGACACACTGTGAGGATTCTTATAAAAAGACACACAGAGGGCTGATTACACCGTGTCAGGTGTAACACCTCACTGTAATCACATTACATTTTTTAGTAATGCAGTAATGTAATGCATTATTGTGCCTGTGAAGGCCTGTGGTACATAGCTGATTATTAGAGATCGAAGAATTAATTAATGGCAGGACTTCTTTGAGCAGTTTTGTAGGAATGGGGTCTAAAAGACACGTTGATGGTTTGGAGGAAGTAATTATTGAAGTTAACTCAGAAAGATCAATTGGAGAAAAAGAGTCTAACTTAACATCAATGGTACTAAGAGTAGCTGTAGATAATATTACATCTGTGGGATGATTACTGGTAATTTTTTCTCTAATGATTAAAATGTGATTTGTGAAGAAGTTCATGAAGTCGTTACTAGTTAACGTTAAAGGGATGGTTGGCTCAACAGAGCTCTGACTGTTTGATTATCTGGTTAATAAAGATGTGACAAAGACTCGAGTAATAAAGGGGAAAAGTAGAATTCAAAATACAACAAAAGCTCAAATAAACCATTAACATAAACATCAGCAAGGAAACACCAAAATAATTATGTGTTAACTAAGCCACGCACGATGGCGGGGCGGTGTCTCACGGAGGTTTCACCGTCGGCCCCGGTGATGGTGACCACCCAACGGTTTTCACACCTGAGCTCATGTGACGACTCACTTGATTGGCAGCGAGTCAGGACCATCCAACCAGGACCACGCCCTCTCGGGTTTCGTTTCCTGGGGGTCTCCACCTCTCGGATGAGAGGAGAAACATTTCCCTGAGCCTGAAGAAATCCAACTGCCTTCTTTTTTTTCACATGAATACGCCAGCATGAACAGTGGGACGGACTAACTGTGAACATAGCTGATTGGCTGTCTCTCTGTCAGTGAGTGAGTACAGCTTAGCTTACCTCTCCCCAAAAATCAGAAATCACAGACCTGTTTGTGTCTGTGAGTCGGCTCAGAGACAGGAAGTGGAGACAGCGCTCGTTTTACTCAGACCTGCTGACGGCCATAGATGCAGCTTTGTCAGGTCTGAGCTGTGGCCCCAATCTGTGCCCCCCGAGCTGTGGCCCCCCCGAGCTGTGCCCCCACGAGCTGTGCCCCCACGAGCTGTGGCCCCACGAGCTGTGGCCCTGAGCTGACATCCCATGAACTTGTTTTTAATATTTATTCTCTGCTGGTAGTCATGGAGACACACCGGTCTTTGCTGGTGTTTAGTGTATGACATTAAAGATTGTTCAACTGTGACATGAGTATCAGTTTTCAAACTGCAGATTTTGTCCACACGTCAGAAAACAGGAAAAAGTGACAACACACTTTCTGTCCGTGATGGCGCTGCAGGCCGTTTCTCAGCAACGATCATTCAGGAGCAGACGACGGTCTGTAGATTTTTATGGCTCAATCTTTTCAGTGTCCACAGACGTCTTATGTCTTCCCTTCTGTGGTCTTTGTCAGCAGGTGGCAGCACCTGGAGACGCTAGCAGGACCTCAGTGAAGCTTCCTGAAGCAGCAGGAAAGCACGAAAAACACAGAACCAATGCAAACAGGCATGAAGCGTTTGTCTTCCTCTCTCTGTGTGTGTGTGTGTGTGTGTGTGTGTGTGTGTGTGTGTGTGTGTGTGTGTGTGTGTGTGTGTGTGTGTGTGTGTGTGTCAGTCAGTATAATCCTTGCTTGTCATTCACGGTCATTGCTCGCTCTCAATGCTGGAAGCTGATCTAAATCGATTTGCTGTATTAAATCCAGCAGAACGTAATTGACCATCAGACGCTGAAACATCCTGACGAGATGCTGCAGGAGGAGGAAAGTAAAGTTTTCATCTGGCACCACTTCCTGTAAACTCTGCGGAGGCACAGCAACGCAGGAGTTACCTGACATGTACTGCAAATGCTGCAAATACTGCATATCATTAATATAATACTGCAAATGCTACATGTGATTAGACACATTAGAGATGCAGTACACTCAGCACTGCATTCACAGAACATCCAGAGGTCCTGTTTACACCATTCACCTGTCAGTCAAAGAGGCCACGCCCCTAATAATACCAAACTGTAAACAGGTGAGTGATAGAAACATCCGTACAGGTGTTGTAAAGAGGAAACTTTGATATCAGAGACTAAACCAGGTCGTGTCTCAGCAGGGCCGTGCAGAGAGGTTTAAAGGGGCGGGTGCTCAAAGTTAAAAAGGGGCACATTGAACCAGGCTGGATAACAACAACACACATTCATCAAGAATCTAATATGGGCAACAAGGCAAAGCAAACGTAGCCGATGCTTTACCTGATGGGTACAATGTTGCTGTTGAGGGGTTGCTGTGGATAGTGCTGGAGGGCAGGGCTGTGTTGATCTGAGACTGTAGACATTAAAAAGTCCACAGGAGAGATGGAAGCTGATTAAACAAGTGTCATGAGATGATAACAAAATGCAAAGATTGGTGACAGCGCTTAGGCTCTGCCTGTGAATCACTCTTTGCTTCTCTTCTTCCTTCCATCATTTCATATATCACTCTCCACTTGCTGTCTATCTGAGAACAAGGCACAACTTGCTATTGCAATAAACTATAATCTAATTATCCACACCTAACAACTCCAGCACTTAATCTATAATAAAATGACAGAAAAATGTTATAGCCCTGCCTTTAGTAGCCTCACACAGCTCCTGCTGTTTCCTCCTCATGTCCTTACCAGCCATGTCTGCACAATGTTATATCATGAGTAATATTATTTTTAAAAATCCATCTAAATAAAACACACACATGCACACACAGTGACATGTTAGACCTTCTTCAGAATACTGTATATACTATGGGCATCCTTACATTATTATTTATTACTAGAGCTACAATAATAAAGCAATGAGGAGGGGGAAGTAATAAATATGAAATAATGTATTTATGATGATTCCATTTGTTTCACTATCCACTCTGTGCAGGGCAAAGCTTATTACATGTTTAAACTGTAGAGATACAATCATTTTACTGCTGTAAAATCCAACTTTTGTCTTATTTAAAATATAAATCTAATATAATCTGCTTCTTAATGTATGTTCTTTAAAATACAGCGTGTGTTTTAATATATTATAATTATCCATCCATCCATTCGCTTCCGCTTATCCTTTTCAGGGTCACGGGGGGCGCTGGAGCCTATCCCAGCTGTCATAGGGCGAGAGGCGGGGTCCACCCTGGACAGGTCGCCAGTCTGTCGCAGGGCCAACACACAGGGACAGACAACCATTCACACTCACATTCACACCTAATGGCAATTTGGATTATCCAATTAACCTATCCCCATTATATTATAATTATAATAATGCATAATTATGTGGACATGCATATTAGATCGTTTTTTAGTGAAATATAATCCCTCCAGAAAGGCAGGAAAAGCCCGGAAACTTACTTTAAAACTAAATATGTTCTAAATACTTTAAAACTAAATATGTTTCTAAATACTTTAAAACTAAATATGTTCCCTAAAACGGTGACAGAGCTACAGACCCATGACAGCCTTACACAGGTAGGCAGCAGCTGTGACCAGCACTACCTGTGCAGTTAATAAAAGGACAGGTAATGTTTGTCGCGCTGTTGCACACACAGCACGCTCGTTTGTTTCAGTTCGTCAGTAGCAACAAGACAGCTTACCAACGTGTACGTAATAAGCTAATACTCCTGTGTGCTACACACTACAGTGTACGCTGTACACCTACTTACTGGTTGTGTCGCATCAGTCTGTGTCTCTGAGTTAACTTGTGTTTCTCCTACAGCTCCGGACCGCAACAAATGCGCGTGCTCTTCGTGAGCTCGTTCCCGGCTCGTAACCAGCGCGTTCTGCCGTCGAGGGCGATCATTGGTTAAATGTGATCATGTGACTGATGCAAGCCAGATCCTTTTATTTAGCAAAACTGTGATTAATAGTTAAATATTATTGTTGAGGGGCACAGACAGGACTCCGCACGCACACATTAAAAATAATAATAATAACTTTTTTTTGAAAGGTTGCCTCAACAAAAGGGCACTTTGGGCACCCATCAGGAAAGGGGCGGGTGTTCAAGCCCCTCTAGCCCCCCCCTCT